GGGGGGGGCTGAGACACACTTAATATTATCAGCGTTCTGATGGCATTTTTGCCAAAGGATTTTGATCAAAAACATAATTAATTGGGGCCGTAGGCCCCTGCCTAGTATTGCCTGATGGTAAATCCCTCCCTGGATGGAGGAGCGACTCAGGACAGGCCTAATCTAGACAGAAGCTGCAGACACAGAGGTTTCACTCAGTATTTATTGTTGGAGTTCTCAGGCTGCAAATGATCGACTGCATGGATGATCTGAGCTGGAAACAGGCGGTAAACAGTCAGAGCGGTCTGGCCGACCAGATGATCCACATTCAGCTTCCTGAAGCAGTAGATCCATCAGGCTCTGCCGTGGGCGGAGCTACAGGCCTTCCTGTGGGCGGGGCTACCATCCAGTCTGTTACTGTTTTAAGTGTTGCTTCCGTTCACCTCTGACCTCTGGCCCCCCCTCTGCTCTTTCTCAGAACTCGGGCAGCGACCTGTCGTAGTCCATGATGCTGAGCTCGTCTCTGCGCTGGCGGACGGCGGGGGCCAAGTCTGCGGGGACCACAGCAGGAAGGGGGGACTCCACCTGAGGACTCCCAGTGAGCAGGGTGGCCTCCTCCACCTCCTGACCCAGTGGAGGACTTTCTGGTTGGGCCTCCTCCTCCTCCTCCTCTGGGTTCTGGTTGTTCGGCCCAAACAGCCGGCGGGCCTGCTGCTCCAGGAAGGATCCGACGGCCAGCGGGGAGTCAAAGGGGGAGACGGAGAGGGGGGAGGAGGAGGAAGGATCCGACGGCCAGCGGGGAGTCAAAGGGGGAGACGGAGAGGGGGGAGGAGGAGGGGAGGGCCTCCATGGCACCGTTGATAATTCCCACAGCAGAAGAAGAGGGGGGGCGGGACTTGTTGGCGTCCAGAGCGATGGGTGAGGAAGCGGCATCTCTGATTGGCCTAAGAGAGATGGAGAGGAAACGGATCTGTTAAGCGGAGGAACCGGGCTTCATGCAGGTGGAACCCGGGTGTAAATCCCACTGATTTTCCATTTACATGTTTGGGTAATGGAGAAAGATTCCAGTGATCATTCTGTGTGTTTTTTTTTTCACTTCCATCCCCTCATTGCTACACAGCCAATTGCTGTTGAGTATCAGGGTCACATGTGCAACAGCCTATCAGTTAGGTATATTAGTCAGAGTGGGGAGGTTTGAAAGACTGTGGCATGTTGGGAGAAGCAGAGCTGCAGGAGCTAACTACTTAGCTGAGCTGACATGAAAAACCCTGTTTGTGTTACAGACAAACTATGGAGTTAGTGAGTGTTTCTCCTGTGTGGCTTAATTTTAGCTCATTATGTCTTTGTTTGTTGTCTAGCTGCTAAATTGCTGATTATACAAACAGATGCCCAGACTAGCTTTGAGGAACCCTATGTGGACAATGAGGTGCCTTAAATATTTATTGAGCACTTGTTTGTATTAGTTGTTTTTACATTTCATGTTGACTAA